TGTTCTCATTTGACAGGTGATACACAAACGCTGAAGTTAAATGTGAGTTAAGAGCAAAATAGCAAGGCATTTTGCAAGCAACTCTTGTGTGATTCAAATGTGCGAACCTGAAGCTACATGAACCTGATAGAAGAATCAGTTCCAAGTGTATGTCTTTTATTCTAGTTCAATTGTAGTAGGGCTTTTCAAATTGTACCTTTCAGATTTATCTAGAGGCAATTATATTAGGTACTCTGAGTATTCAAGTTAGAGTTAACTTGACGTTGTCGCAACAGTTAGAGGCTGGTTGTCACAACAAGTAATCCTTAGGTTTACAAAGAGTTTTGTAAATGTTATTTTGGCTCAATGATTTAGTGAGTAGTAGGTCATGGTTTTTTCACCTTTTGAGCCGGGTGTTTTCCACGTAAAAATACTTGTGTTCTTTACTTTTCACATTTACTATTTCCACAACAGTAGTATAAGGAACACATAGAAGAACTATGTTCTTCTATAATCAGTGCACATAAAAATTTGACACCACAAAAATCACCCCCCCCCCCCCATCATTAGTTGGAATGAATGCAAGGGACTTTGGCTGAATTTGTTAGAGTTTATAAATTCAAGTGTGAAATTTATTAAAATTCTTATAATCACATAGCTATTCCTAAATCAAGTGTCATGCATCGAGNAAGAATTATTATCACGCGAAACATAGCGTCTCACCAATATGCGCTATGTAACCTAAAATCACTCTTAGTTGCCTATAAAAATCTCTCACATTTTAGTTATTAGTTGCGTTGAAAGGAAAAGAATAGAAAAACTTTCCATTAATTTTTCATCTTCGAGCATTACGACATGACTGGACGCAATGACATACCAAGGTGTTACTGAGGCAAACGTGCGATTTTGAAGTCATGTTGGTCAAATTGCAATCTGGGGCATATGCATTGGATGTGTAAACAAGTTGTAAGTTATTATTATTTGAAAAAATATTTGTTAATAGTTTTTAAATAACATGTTAATTTATAATCTTGTGTTATCATCCCATTGGTAAGACGAAAATCAATGTGGTTTTGAAGAATGGTATGATGAACCCATTAACGAGGAATACTACAAATCATATTTGCTAAACATTTGGAATCTGACAGGTGAATACGAACTGCAGATCTTGAAACTACAAGAACAACTTGCGGTAGTGAAGGAGAAACTAAAAGAGGCAGAAGAAGAAAAATATAGGTTGGAAGAGAAATTTAAGTGGTTGAAGTATAGAATAATGGGCGATAGTGACTAAACAAATACATGGATGCGTTTAGTGTAGTATTTTATTTTTATGTAGTACGTGTCATGTATTATCTTTAATTAGTAACAAATTTAAATTTATGTTAAGCTGTCACTTTTTTTATGTTCTAGTGTTAAACTAATAAATAAACCGAGAAATAAAAATACATGCGCAAATTATGTAAAACATAAATAATGTTACTATTATATATTTAATGTCATATATACAAATAATAATACATATCAATGAGTCCCCCAACCTGTATGCTTTAAAGCATTGGCTGGCCTGAGGCGCATCCTATCCCGCCCGGCTACACTATCAGGATCATCCTCATCACGTCGCCTCTTTATCGGAGGATGCGCTTGATAGTAGGCTATATTCCCGTATTCTAGTCGCTTATTGCACTATAATTCATTGCATTTTACTTATGTTGAGCTTTAATTAGTAGTGTTTTTATACTTATTGTGTGTTTTATGCTTTGTAGGAATGATTCCGAGTTATGCAAATGTTGTGGAGCTATTTGAAACTTTGAAGTCTGAGTATAGAGTATAAGCCCAAACAATTAAGCCGGGATCGAGTCGAGGGCTGAGGATTGAGTATGTATTTAAAAAGTAAAAGAAATAAGAATAGAAAACATGAGTGGAGGTAATAATGACTTGCAAATTAAAAGTTGGCAAGAAAATTTGTGTCTACCAACATACCAAACTTTTGAGCAATTCAAACAAATAAAAAAGGGCACAATGATGTGATGTCACACTTTTCTATAGGCCAAAACGAACAGCCCTCTACTTTTGTCCACATTCGCGCCGCATGGGGTAGTTGCATCCGGGGTTTGTTTTGGGGGCGGCTTAAATACACCAAAACACCATTTTAGATGGACTTTTGACACAATTTCAACCTAAGGAGGCCAAGGAGGCTAAGAAGGAGTTGGAAGAACACAAGCATAAGGATTTCATCATTCCTTACTCACTCAAGATCCGAGTTTGGATTGAATTTATATTTTCCTATACTTTAGTTACATTTGTGAAGAACTTCTCCATGTCTATGGAGTAGATCCTTTTGGGTTTTGATGAATTTGGTGTATTGATGATTGTTTGTGGATTATAACTGTATTTTTATGTATTTGAATCGTTTTTGGAAGATTTAATTGTTGCATCTATATTCACTTATTCTTGTAATTGAAAGAGACATAACTTGTGATATCTTTGCATTATATTGTTGGTTGAGTTCATAGGTTCTTCTAAGTAATCGAAAGAGGCTAGTTGAATTATTTATTAAACCTAGTTAGGAGAATAATCGAAAGAGGTTTTCCTAAAGACCGATCCATTACGCATTCTTGCATATCTTCACAGAGCTTAAATTGGTTCATATTGAGAGGTTGAGACTTAATCGAGAGAGGCATTTCTACTAAACAATTGTACTAAGAATTAAGTGAATTCGAGAGACTCACTTAAACATTAGAAGTGAATTATCTAGAGTTAAATCCCAGACAATTATCTTGCACCTATCCTATCGAAACCCCATTTTCTCCCATTGATATCTTCCTTTTCTTAGGCCTTGCTTCGATTTTCATTAGTCAATAGCTGTAGATTTTAGATTCTTAGTTAAATTTTATTATTAATCATATAAATATTAACTGTTTATCCTCCTGGATAGCAATCAAGTTAGAAACTACGAGAATACTATTTTAATCTAATCCATGCGGACACGACATTATACTATATTATCTTTGACTAGCGAGTACAACTTAAGTGAGTGTTTTGTGCTCGTCAAATTTTTTTCACTACAGCATGATCGTCAGTAAGACTGTCAGACTAGGTAGAAACGGTCGTTAGGCCAGCAGTAACCTACAGAATAATAAGATTTTTTAGTATATGAAATAGAAAATACTAACGTACGTGTTAGTAAAAATAATTTAATGGTCATACCATGGTCTCTAGGGCTGGGCATATATCGGGTAAAACCGATAGTCTGAACTGAAAAAAGCTTATTGGATTATCGGTATCGAGTTATTGGGTTAACAGTTCGGAAACGGTTTAGAAAAGTTTTACTATTGGGTTATCGGTTCGGGCCTCGATTTGCCAATTTTGTTAATGGGTTAATCGATAACCCAATAAGAATTAATAAAATTATGACTTTACCATTAAGTATATACATACATTTAGGGCTTCATTCTCTCATGTTCCCTTTCATCCGCACTCTTCAGTTCATTGTCTTAAAGTCTTCATCTCCATATACCTTACTCCTAGCGTAAGTCTTATACGGTAGGTTTCTATAATAAAATTCATCTTCATCTAGGGATTTTTGATTGTTAAAGATTCTTTATTTTGTGCTCATATTTTATGATTTTTATTTTTGTTTCTTAATTTTATGAGCTCACGTTGTGCAGCCTATACCTATTACCAGTTGTGGTTGTTTGTTGTTTGTTGTTCCACTCCTAATTAGCTACATTTTGACATTTTATGAGTTATGTCTAAAGTACAAAAACAGTAAGAAAATCTTAAGTTGCGGGCTTCTAAAGAAGTTTTGATCTAATTAACTACATTTTGACATCTTATGTCTAAAGGACTAAAATAGTAAGAAAATCTTCAGTTGCGACTTGCGAGTTTCCGAAGAAGTTTTGATCTAGATTGAGTTATTTTATCGGATAAACCGATAACCGAATCTATAACGGTTGATAATCGATTAACCGATAATCGATAAATGATTTTTTATCGGTTCGGTTATCGGTTTTGAATATTTATAAACCGATAACCAATATGTCAAATCGATAATATTCATAACCGAACCGAACCGACCGATACCCACCCCTAATGGTCTCATCAGGCTCCTGAATAACATCATTAGTCTCCGGCAAGTCAGTATCGCATAATGTGACCTCCGTGACGGGCGATGACGAAAAGTTAAAAAAAAACACTTTAGATATTATTGACTAATCAATGACATAAAAACAAACTGAAATAATATTAATACAAACAAACCTGTGCATGAGTAGCGCCACAATGCTCTGTCGGAACATCGAGGTACATCGGAGTAGATGAAGCATGTGAAAGATCCTCAACATCTCTCGGTGATGAGCCATAACTCAGTCGTTACCCACTATGCACCTCTCATATCGGCTGATCAGCAGCAACCGTCGATGGCTCTATGGGATCAGGAAAATATTGATCCCACTCCTGTCGCGTAATGGCCGTGCCCGCAATCAACAATGGAGCAGACGGGGTCACCTGCGAAGTCCCTAGCGAAAGTTGAAGGCTGAATGATGGCGTATCATGAGGAGCATCGTGTGGCTCAGGGTGTTCACCTGGCTGATCATCTCTAATATCCTCCATGGGTGCCTCAACGTCCCTTGCTGGGGACCCCATCCTCGCCGACCACCACGACCTAGTGGGCCAACCCTGCCACATCTACCACGTTCAGGCTCCACTGGTGGACCATGATGGTACTTCTCGGGTGACACATAAGCAGCCTCGTATCCTAAGCACCCATCCTCTCGAGCACGTCTCAATGTGTCGGCAGCAAGATCAATAACCCGACGGCCAAACAAGTGCAAAGTTGTCGCTCTCTCGCCTGTATGATGCAACATCTGCAATCCCAACTGGTAGAACTGATGTAAGCCAATAGCATGCATAACATGTAAAATATTAATTACAGAAGAATAATATAACGTTATAAGTAAGTATAATAATTAACATACCAGTGCCTCATGCCTCCCGGTGTATGGAATGTACCAACCCATGTACTAATGCCCATCCATACGGTCAGGTGGAGGGTATGGCGGAATCAGGTCATACCTCTGGTCCCAAACCTCAATCTTGGCCTCTAGCCATGCCATGTATGTCTGGTCAACCCTGTAATGATCATCCCGCTGGTAATGTGTCCCGTTCCAAGTGGGCAGAATACGTATAAGCTGCGGGCGACCAAACTAACGAAGGACTCGCTTTTTGGTATGATGCTCGACTATGTCGAGACATATCAGTGGGACAGAAGAGCTCCACATAGCTCGGTCGTGGGAGCAATAATCGGGTAAACCAGCTATGAGCGCATCGTTGTATGGCCTCCATACGAACTATTTAATAAATACAAGAATCGTGAGTAAACACAACACATATTAAGCTATGCCAAGTAAACTTGAGTATATATGTACATGCGCGAGTTCAAGTAAATCCAACAAATCCATGTAATAATGGAGATGATTTCGAGCTTCGACCTCGCGTGCGTAGCCTCTCCTATCAACCCACCTCCAAGCTAAAGGGAGAAACGGTGGAGGTGGTGCATCCGGAGCAATCAGTGGCTGAAACTACAGGAATTGCTCCCACGCCCAAACCTAACATAGATTGTGGACGTAAAATTTAAGATATTTTTTTACTATGTATGTTATAATCATGAATATAATTGACTATGTTTTCACCTGCAACAATGGTAAAAATCTGGCAACGTCTCTCTGGGTTCCCATGCACGCCCGGTACATCTTCCTATACAGGTAAACTAGAACAACTGTACCACAGCTGTAACCAAATAAATCATATAACCGCTCCACATGATGTAGAAATCTTAAGATAACTAGGTTTCCCGAAGTGTTTGGGAACAGTATACTACCAAATATAAGCAATAATAACAGTCTCGTGTGCCGGTCGATATCCTCTGGCGGTGAGTCATCCGTAATCTCTGCATCCATCGCCACCAAATGTTGCCGAACGGGCGTCAGCTGTAATCGACTGGCCCTACTCAATGCACTCGGCTCCGCTGGCTGGAAACTGATGAGTCGTTGCAACATATGAAAGTAATCCACTCCCCTATAGTCTCTAAGATCATGCGGGTAAGTTACAGGTATACCATCAACAAGTAGCTCAAAAAAAACCTCCATGTCCTCAAGTGTGATGGTAGCCTCGCCGATGGGTAGATGAAACGTGTGCGTCTCCGGTCGCCACCGCTCTATCATAGACGTGATCAATGCCCAGTCAAACTGCAACCGGTCAATCTCTATGATCATTTAGAAGCCCGTATCCTGAAGGCGTCTAACTATACGGGGATGCAGTGGGTGGTCCCTAATGAACTCCCACATATCGTTTATACGTCTGGAGCGGAATGTCTGGGACAGACATTGCCCATCCCAGATGTGTGAAGACCTATGGTTGTCCTGTAGAAATAGTACCTCTCGAGATGCAGGTCCGGGATGCACAAGGGAAACCTCCATGACGATGTCTGTAAATTGAACAATATTATTTAAAGTATTTTTCTGTTTAATTTTTTAACATCTTTAAATATATTGTAATATCTTTTATATTAATATTTAATCGATATTTTTTTCTATATTATTACTTAGGTTAATACATTTTCTATATTATTATTTTATATGTTAGTTTATACATTTTCTATATTATTACTTAGGTTAATACATTTTCTATATTATTATTTTATATGTTAGTTTATACATTTTCTATATTATTTTTAATCGATATTTTATGTTATTTTCTTACATTTGATGACTTGAATTCGAGAGAATTTGTGTTTGAACTAACACTTTTTTTCCAGATATTTTTGAGGTTAACAGATAATTAAATGATTAATTTCAATAACTACAAAGATAATTTCATATGTTAGTATTTCATAATTTCAATGATATTAATTTCTATATTAATATTTCATATGTTAGTTTTCATAATTTTTCTACTAAAGTAACACTACTCTAAATGGCCATGAACAAAGTCAACTAGCATAAGATAAAATTTATTATGAGTTTTACTACGATAAAGGGCACTACATTATAATTTAGGGCACAACATAACACTAAAGGGCACTAAACAATAATAAAATCACATATTAATATACGTACAACATTAAAATCACATATAACATTAATTATTTATAAAATAATAATTTGTCTCTATTACTAATATTTTAGCACATAAATAATCTAATCCAGATAAAAAATAACAAATTACTAAAAATCACAAAACGATCACAAAAAGGCATAGACCACAGTAAAAAAATAACTACTAAGCATTTTATATACATGAGTTTTACCAAAAAGTAAGTCGGAATACTTCGATTTAAAGTTTTTTCAAATGTGAAAATTTGATGATTTGGGAGCCGAAACGAGCAATATACGAGATCCACTACACGACAACGCCTTGGATCCGGTGTTAGTTTGCTACAAAACGGAGAAGATACACTTTTTGTGGGACGGGTGGGCTCCAATGGAGTTTTTTTGAGTAAAAATGG